AGAGAGAGAGAGAGAGAGAGAGAGAGAGAGAGAGAGAGAGAGAGAGAGAGAGAGAGAGAGAGAGAGAGAGAGAGAGAGAGAGAGGTGAAAGGTAGAAAAAGTTCAATTTTGAAGCTGACAATATGCACATTAAAACGACATGGACCGCCAACACACACACACACACACACTTCCCCCAGTAAACTGTCCCACGCACACTCTAACGCAACGGGTTCGCAGCCAGTCCACTGTGAACAACGACGTGGTGGTCAACATGATCTACCAAGCTTGTCATTATCCGCTTTGCTAGATCACAACCATAGCTAGGGTCATCCTCCGCCACGGCTTCCACGTTGAGGTCTCGCAGATGTCGTTGCACTCGCCGGCGCCACTGCCGCCATCGACGGACTGGCCGACGTGGGCCCTTCCCATTGCTGTCGCTGCTGTCATTCATCAACGCGGGGTCGATCTCCACCCCGTGATCTATTATCAGGTTGTGGAGAATGCACACCGCCATTATCTCCTTGCGCAAAGTCTTCAAGTTCGTGATGTGTGTGTGGATGAAATTCTGCCACACACTCTTCAAACGCCCGAATGTCCGCTCAATGCAACTCCTCGCCGACGTGTGGCACTCATCGTATGTGCTGTCTGCGGATGTCCAGTTAAATCTGCCCATTGGAATCATAATCCAGGGTAGAAGAGGGTAACCGGCACCGCCCAAAAGATAACGCCTGGCATGCCTCCCGTCGTCCAGAATCGCTCCATGCCCACTCAGCACTCCTTGCCCCGAAGTCGTGTTGCGGTATAACGGCAACAAATGCAACGCGCGTGAATCATGCACAGACCCTGGACAGCCAACGAACACGCTCACAATCCTGCACTCACGATCGCAAACCACCTGCACGACTACCAAAAAGTCTCCGGTGTGATGGTAGTAGCACTCCAATTGCATTCCCTTTGGTGTATCGATGTACACGTGTATGCAATCTATAGCCCCGACACAACCAGCAAACCCTTTCGCCTTGAAAGCGTTCTGCACTTCCTCCAAACGCCGTCCTGTGGGGAACCGAAGAAGATGGCCATACTCGTGGATCAAAGCATCAGCGACGTCTTCGTTGCTCTGCAATGCACTGGCGAGCCCCACACCCATTGCGTGTGATGATTGTCTGAAGTACCCGCCTGTCGCCCACCTGATGAGGGCGCGTGCAAACTTCTGCCCGGCAGGTAATGGCAGTCGGAAATTGGTGGGGGAGCGTTGGGTATGAGGACTGATGCGAGCACAGACTTCCAAAAACAAGGGCCATGGAAGCCTGCAAAACCACCTTCGCTGCAAGTCCCTCCAAACACCCCTGCTGCGCTCCACCACCCATAGCCGCCGTCTTCAAACAGTCATGTGTCTTTCCAGCTGCCGCACCGCCAAACACGTCAAAGCCATGGCGTGGATCACCCCCCCTGCCATCATCGTCAGCGCCTCAGACACATCACGGAACATGAATGGCGTCACAGAGACAGCTTCGAGGATAGCCATGGCCGCCGCGTTGGGCCTGTTCACCCACTGCGTCACTGTCAGAATGAGGAAGAAGAACATGTCCTCCCAATCCTCCCCCGAACCGGCTGCATGCTCAGGTTCCATGGGTTCTGCGTTCCGCTGCAGGGATGGAGGGGGGTGGGCCATGCACACACACACACACCTGTCTCTTATACACATCTAGATGTGTATAAGAGACAGGCCTCAGACACATCACGGAACATGAATGGCGTCACAGAGACAGCTTCGAGGATAGCCATGGCCGCCGCGTTGGGCCTGTTCACCCACTGCGTCACTGTCAGAATGAGGAAGAAGAACATGTCCTCCCAATCCTCCCCCGAACCGGCTGCATGCTCAGGTTCCATGGGTTCTGCGTTCCGCTGCAGGGATGGAGGGGGGTGGGCCATGCACACACACACACACCCTCTGACTTTTCATTTTCAGGTATGTTTTGCTGTTTCCAGTGCCTTGGAAAGACTTTGGCCGTGGGGTCCCACGGAAACCCCCCAAATTCTTTCCTGACTCGTTCCACCGCTTTTTATGGCCAACCACTCGTTCCACCTCTTTTTATGGCCAACCACTTTTTCCAGCCACCAAACAGTGGGGTCCACCCCTTATTGTGAGAATATGGGAGGTGGGGCCCGTTTCCCTACAGGTGTCAGCCTTTCTCCCCTGCTTTCTTTTCCCTTTCTTTCTAAAAAATGAAAAAGTGCAACGGCCTTGAGATATCTTCTTTCTTCCTTTTCCCTTTTTCCTGAAAAATGAAAAAGCACGACGGCATTGAGATATCATCATTGAATTGACCGGCCCGGGTAACTGAGAATGATTTGATTCTGGTCATCTTGTAGCATAGGCATCATTGTAGCCCATTGGTTATCACCCCTTTTGCGACAGGTGGTGCCCCTTCCCAAACAACATGAAAAAGCGACAAGGGGGTACTTGCATATTCAATATAAACTGGGAAACAGGCCCAGCGTCCCTCACATATATGGACAGGGGAGTACTTCAACAACAGGGCAAAAGAAAAACACATAACATAACATAGCCCCCTGTCGCTTTATTTTTTTTTTCTTCTGTTTTTTGTTCGACCGTCGAGACCTCTGACGACCAATTCAATTACCTGTCATATCATCTAGCTCAGTTGGTAAGGCACAGAAGTGGTATTCAGGAGGTCTTGGGTTCAATCCCCATTAGCCTCCTGTACCTTCCTGGGCAAGCTTGGCGCCTGCCACCCACCTTCTTCGCCTTCCCCCGAATACAACGTACGGTCATTATAGCTGTATCTAGACAGAAAGATGTGTCAAATACAGCTATAATGACTGGGCGTTGTATTTGGGGGAAGAAGGTAGAGATATGCCATTGGTCCCTCCGAGTGGCATTGAGCAGAGACTGCCCATCGAAGAAGCTCGGTCCTGATGGTACCAGCTGACCCCTGGCCGGTATCGCCCACCTACTGCCTCCGGCATGTTCCCTCGTTGGAAGCTTGAGCATGGATGTTGCTGCATGTTCCCTCGTTGGAAGCTTGAGCATGGATGTTGCTGCTACGGGTTCCCCGTCCCCGTAATACTATATCGATAAAAAAGGCCTGCGACTGTCCTGTCCATAGGCTTGAGCATGGATATCGCTGCTACGGGTTCCCCATCCCTTTTTTCTTTTCTTTTTTCGGGAACCCCGTCCCCGTAATACTATATCGACTTTGGCGCCCGCCACCTAGAGATAACCCGTTGGTCCTCCCAATTGGCATTAAAAAGCAGTCTCTGCTAATGTTCATAGGGGGAGGGGTACTCGGGGAGGCACAGCGACTGGCCACACAGATGATGCTCGGTCCCTCTGCTACCGGCTGCCCCCGGCCGGTGTCCCCCGTTGGGGGTTCCCTGAAGGCAATCAAGGCCACCCTGGGCTGAAAAGGCCACCCGGTGTCAGATTAGACACAATATTGAATTTACCTGGGCTGGTTAGTCCGATGATAATACCTCAAGGCCATCGCCCTTTTAAATAAATAACATAAAAAAAAAAAGGCCTGAAAGGCTGTTCTGTCCAGAACTCTGCCGCTATTGTCACACGCAGATTGTTTTCTATTCATTTTGTTAATTTTTCTTCTCGCTGATTGTTGCGCTCATTCTCGCGCCATTGGGACTCGCTCCACTACTGCAAATGCGCAAAACGAGAATGAATCTTCCCCTAGAACATGGAAAGATACCACCGCCATGATTTTTGTCTTTTGTGCGTCTCGAGAGTAGTCGAACAAGGCCCATTCTCTATCTGTCCATGGAAGAAGAAGGGAGCTCCCGAAAACGGACGGAGAGTTTCTATAATATTCATCGGATTCGCGAGGGGGGACTCGAACTCATGTCCTTGAGCTGCTTGCTAACAGGTACATGTTTGTAGTACTTTGCAAGTTTGCACCATTCAGTAATAGAGGATTGGG